TCGTCTGCCATAAAAACACATGTAGGGGTTTGGGAAAGCAGAACATTTGAAGTATTTCAGGTAGTCCTTGAAAACCACAGAGATTGGAACGCACACCACAAACCTGTGTATTATAGCGGCCTGTCATTTCACATATTGTAGCGCGAGGGATTGAACGAGGGAATGAATGAGGGAACGAACGAGGAATGGTGAAGTTAGTGGCTCTCCAGGGAGAAGAGGAGGGTTTAGTAGACCGTGAGGAACAATGAAAATCAGAAAGTAGAAAGGTCCAGTGAAATGGATAGTGTGTGTTTAAGACCAGATGTGTGTGTGGATGGATGGATCAAACACACACAAACACACACACACAGGTCTACGAAGGCTCCGCAATCTCCACCGCCCCACGCCTGGCGTCCCCCGGCTTTCTAAAAGCTTTGTTTTCCTCTTCTCTATCAGCGTCCTGATTCGTTCCAGTCTTTTTTTCCTCTACCTTTCAAACCGACTTCGGTTTCATTTTAAGCGTCCAAAACGAAAGCTATTCATGGAATTTATTACATGTGCTTACACGTACGCAAATGGCAACAACAACAAAATGTTGCTTGATTTTATTTTGGGGTCTTGTGTGTTTTGATGGTCTGTAGCTTTTTCTTCATGTATACGTTACAGTGCAGAGAGGCTGGAGCAGATGATGATGTTTATTTTTGCAGTATGTAATCACCACTATGGAACTTATGACAGTAGACAGGCCCAGAGACCTGGAACAGTGCCCTGCGAGATCCCCCCCCACACACACACACACACACACAAACACACACACACACACGCCAAGTATGTAGACTAACACACAAAAGAAAACACACATTGTGGCGCAAATGCATACTAACAGATACTTGCGCCACACACACACCGAACACACACACACACACACACACACATTCTCCCGGCGCCGCTGGCTATGTGAGCTGCTGTGCCACAGGGATAGATGTGTTCTGGCACTCAGGTGGGGTAGTGTAAATCACACTGCAGCAACAGTGCCACCCACCTCTTCAAAGATGAATGGGCCGACCCGCATGCCAAGCAACAATCCCAATGAGGCCATTTAAAACCAGAGCGGCTGAACCATTGTAATTTGAAACAGGGGGGGGGGGATAATTTCCTACTTAAGTATACCTTTTCCTTTCCTCGTGGACATGGCTCACTTGAACAGAATCCTGTTGTATCGCATTTCATGTTAGTAATTTCAAAGCAAACACCAACAAAAAGATTTCCCCCGTCAAACATGCGATACAATCGATCCGATCTATTGTTCCTCGTTGGACCAGTCATGTTTACAGCTTGTTACTACTCTGTCATTTCAAGTGGATTAGAGTGAACAACACAGCCATATGTATAGCACTACTTCTACATGCACGTCTGGTTGCCGGGTGGCCAGTGTGCTCTGATAAGCCAGTGTACCGTGCTGTAAAGCATGGTGGAATTTTGCAAGACGCTACAACGACTCCCAGTAACAAATGACAAAAACATGTACTTCTCTTGGGACCACTCTATACCTGTCTAGGGGCCTCTGTGTGTGAAGACAGGACAGGGCAGGGAGGTAGGCAGGCAGGGAGGCAGGCAGTGAAATAGGGTACAGAGCTGCCGGGGAACCAGGGAGGGAGGAGTGGTGGGGGTTGAGTTAATGGTCTTGCATCTTCCTGGCAGCATGTCAATAATGGCTCTAATCACATTAAGTAAAGAGTCCATTAGCTTATTCTCTCCTCTCCTCTCTCTGCTGCATGCTAGCCTAGTAGAAACACAGTAGGCAGAGAGCTCCACTAATGGTGTGTGTCTATCTGTGTGTTATAGACACCACTACTACTGCAGGAGGAGGATGGGAGACAGTGGAAAAGCCCCGGGTACAGATAGGATACAGTACATTCTGTGTGTTTTTGTCTATTTTTATCAGTCAGTCTAGTGCTCAGTTATTTCAGCTTACAATAAGCACTGTGTAGGGAATTGGTTGTCTGTGTATTCAATTAGTTGAGGTTCATCACAGGTAAGAATGGAATAAGAAATCATATTTGGTGCATTTTTACATAAATGACAAGACGTATGAGGTGATGTTTATTGGCTTTGAAGAATTGTATTAAAGTATAATTCATTACACCTTGGCTTTCTCTGTTGTAATATATGAGCAGAAACTGAATATGAGATTAAGTTGATGATTAGTGAAGGTTGGAACCTCATTCTCAAGTCTCATTAGTCCATATTAGGGAGAAAACGCAACAAATATCAAGTATCAATGTTTTACTTGTCCTCGCTCCAGCAGGGCTAATCTTCAAACAGATCCGGTTTGTACTCTCTTTCAACTGCTTAAGGACAATGGCTGTTAGGAGGGGGGGTATTACACTGAGGGAGAACAGACGCAACACATACATACATCAGAATACAACACAAATACACTGTAAGCCACCGAGCAGAGCCAAGGACCAAATTGTGAGCATATGTTAATGCACCTTTCCTCCCGTGGTCCTTGCCAAAATAGTCATCAAGACAAAGGAGATGTGATATAAGAGGGAGAGAAAAGGAGGCCATCACACCAAAGCAGCCTCTTCCCTCCACCCCCCTGGACAGACAGGCCATTTCTCAGCCGCCTCACTGCTCCACTCAGCCCCTGGAGGAGGAACAGCGGCCCCCACATCTGTCTCCCAGGCCCAGGACAGACCGGCCGGGCCGCGTCCAAACGCTGCACATCACACGAATCATCCTCAATTAATGTGAACCATCAGGCGCTCCATCTTTCCCTCCTTTCTCTCCTCCCTCTCTTTTCTCTCATTTATTGCTCCCTCACTTCTCAGAGGAGTCCCCCCAGGGTGCGTTCTGGGTCCGCTGAGTTTTACACTGTCGACCGAGGATACGGCTGCTTAGCAGAGAGGGGCTAGCTAGCCAAAACGTTAGCTTGGATGCCTTGTGAAAAGAGACAGCGAATTCAATAGATCAGTCCAAGCCCGGCCAGACGGTGCTAAGATTTAACTGCTGCGGCGCTTCTTGAAAGGTTCTGATCTGAAGCCTGGGCCGCTCCAACGGTTCTTTTTTTTTTTTTACTCCACTGCGCCACAGAGGGCCCCGAAATGGCTTCCATGTGCCGCCCCATCTGCACCTCTGCTGGGCTGTGGCCAAAGCACCGTCCTCATTCCCTTTGAAGGGATGCGGAGGGACAGCTTTCAAACAAAAGGGGGGTGAACCAGAGGGTTACCAGAACAATTTTAGGGGCCGTTAGGGAGAGAGATGAGAGAGAGAGAGAGAGAGAGAGAGAGAAGAGAAGAAGAGCGAGAGAGAGAGAGAGAAGAGAAGAGAGAGAGTCAGAGAGAGAGATAGAGAGATCTCGAGAGCTAGTCTAGATGACGGCGCTCTAGACGCGTCGCGCTCTCGCTCAAGCATCCTATCTCTCTCTCTCTCTCGCTCTCGCTCTATCCCGCGCGCTATTCTCTCTCTAGCTCTCATCTCTCGATGTCATCTCTCCTTCTACCCTATCCCTTTCACCCAACGCTCTCCCTGTCCACCCTGCTTTCAGGCTTTCGCCTCCCCCTATCTGTCCTTTTTAAAAGGCCCAAAAACCCCCGCCCTCCCAACCCCCACTTAAATTTTCCTAAAAACCCCAATTAGCCCCCCTAACAAAAAACCGCCCAATGTCGTCATGAATTTTTTTTTAAAAACCAAACCCCTTGACTAAATAAAGGTTGGAGAGAAACCAACGGGACGGAAAAGGGCCGGGGGTATCTTTTGGGCTAGTTTGCTTGATCACTGTGCCCGGGTTTTCTAAAGTGAAAAAGCAGCCCCAAAAAAACCCCTCGCCAATTCACTCACACTCCCAGAGAGAGCAGACCCCCATTCCCCAAAGCTTGAAGGATCCTTCCCCTTGGCACTGATCAGCATCATTTGGGGACCAGGGGGTTTGCACACACTCAACCCCTGGGTTTAATTGAATAACGGAAAAGGCATCAACCCGGATTCCATATCTGATCTGCCTTCCCCTCCCAACTTCTAATAAGAATTATGAATGTGCCCCAGCAGAAGGGCCATGTGTAGACTTTTATTGAATCCCACCTGGTTTAGACGTCAGGGGGGTTTTTTTTTAAAAAATTTTTAAGGAAAGGGGAAAAGGGGCCCGGGTTTGGGATTTTGGGGAAAGAATTTTTTTTTTGGGAAACCCAAAATGTTTCCCCCCCCCCCCAGGCCGGGGCTTGGGGATCCCCCCCCCACCCCTCAGGGGTCCCCCCCCCCCCAAGTCCCCCCCTTCTAACCCTCCCCCTTTCCAATGCCCGGGGCCATCCCTAACCCCCTCCTTTTCTCTTCCCCCCTCTCTCTGCTTCTCCCCTTCCCCCTTCCCCCCCCTCCCCCCTCTCATGGGGCTCTGCTTTCGGGGGCCCTGTTTTTTTTTTTCTCCTCTTAAATTCCCCCAAACCCGCCCCCTCTCCCTCTTCCGCGAACCCCGCCCGGGGGGCCCCAACTTCCGCTTCCCCCCTTTTTTTCCCCGGGGGGGCCGGGGGCGCTTCCTCGATTTCCCCCCCCCCCTTCCCGGTCCCCTCCTCCGCTCTCACCCTCCTCCCTTCCCCCTCTCATCTCTCTGTAGTTGATCTTCTTCAATCTCCCTCTTGAAACGAGAGAGTCCTCTTGCTATCTCCGCTATCTGACATACAGAGACTGACTGTTTCTGACTGTTTCCTCTAAGACAGTGTCAGTTGCTTTTTTCCTTTGAGTATTGTAATACAGTAGCGGTAGTAGATAATGGTGTTATGTATCATTTGAATCAGAAGTGAAAATGTAGAACTATCCTTTTACCAATCAAATATAATTATGTAGGACATGAGGAAAATAATCTAAAGCGTTCACTATCTTTAAAGTGTGTTCTCTCACATACGAAACATTCAGTTTAAATGAGAACATGGTGTTAGCTAAGCGTGATCACAAAGTGCCGGTTCCTTACAAATGTCCTCCTTCCACGTCTGGGTCGACCCACTCCCCTGTGACCCATCATCACCATGCAGGAAGTGGTGCTGGTTGTTCAACCAATGACCTCCGACCTTGCCACCAGAGAGCCAATGGGAGCGGAGCAGGGGTAGAGCCCAAACCCTCTGATGGGATGGCTCCAGGCACTGAGCGTTTGTGAACCCCATCCCCCATGGCACCCCTCTCGCCACCACCACTACCCAAATACATTATTCATGGAGCGATAAAAAATAGAAAAAGAATGAGAGAAAAGGAGGGAGAGAAACAGAATATGGAGGAGGGAAGCCACAAGGTTCAAGACATTCTCAGATCACAACTCGTGCATAACCTCCCTTGTAGTGGCGAGCACGGGATAGGGTTGGGGATGTGAGAGCAGCCGAGGGGGATCAATAGGGGATTCCCTGGTGTCTTCTGGGGCAACGCGGTGCTGCAAGCCGATTGGTGGATCAATGTGGTTCCCAGGGTTCAACTCCAACGCCACGGCCAGCCAGTAGTCTCCTTCGCCGCGATACAGTGATACATACATGTGGTTGGCTGGTTGCATCGCTCTGCCCTTGGTGAATCTGCCTCAACCGTAGCCAGCCTACACATTGTAGCCTAAATCTATTAGGGCCAAGATGCACATACTGTATATAATGTATGTGTCTATTGAATGGCATTATGATAAAGCCTAGAAAGAATGATAACACCCATTATGACATCTTTAGGTCTATCCGGGTCACAGATCCCCTATTCCACACACCCAGAACACGACTGTCGACTGTACAGCTAACAGCCCATAGGATATTAATGGTTGATATTAGCCTTGTTTGCTTTGCGTGAGGAGGGCGGGATCTCTCTCGGTTCTCTGCCAAATAGACTGGGTCATTGTATATGATAGGTGATGATTAGTGAAAAGTATGTGTATGTTCTTCCCTCCTAGTCCTCTATGCAAATCCTCCCAGCCTCTCCCTTTCTCTCTCTCTAGCTCTCTCTTTCTCTCTCAGCGCGGGCTGTTAATACTAGCGCTGCAGCTAATTGTATAATTGCCTGTTTTGTTTTAATCTGACAGCGTTGCCCCGGCCCCATAACAATGCCATAATTTGTTCATCTCTCCTGTCAGCCATAATTTAACCAGGCGGGTTGCCGGGCCAGGCGCCCCCGACAACCCCCGCCACCTCCGCTACTAGCAAACATTACCGGGGAACGCCGCTAGCAAGCGAACCGTTTGCAAGATAAATAAACACAGCCGTCGTCGGGCGGATTAATTCCGAGTGACACGGACACAGTGGATAAACTAATAACGTAGAGGGGGTAGAGGGGCCGTCCACTAGATTAAGTGTGTATCCTACCTGCCTACCGCTGCTGCTCTGCTGTAATTATTGTTTCATTGTCATTAACCTTACAAACGGAGGTTTAGCCGCATTGTTTAAAGGACTCTGGGATGTGTAGTGACAGGGTGATCTGTCATACCCCTGGAGGGAGGTGGAAAGGGGCGAGGGGGAGGGGAAGGGATTAATGAGGTATTACGGGGGGACGGATGGAGGGGTGGAGGGGGCAGGGCTGGAAAATACATGGGAACGAGAGGGCCAACATTAGGCTAATTGGGAGATGAGTGCCTCCTTGTAAAAAGTGCTTCTAATGGCACATTTGTTACTCATGCTGCGGTGGCGTCACTAGGCTAATGCGCTAATGCAGAGTGGGCTGCAAGAGGTGGTTAACACTACAGGGACTTTGTGTTTGTGTGCAAATATGTACATGAGCTGTCTCGGAATTTCTATCACCCAGGCTCTGAGATATGATATGTACACAGTGTATATATACACACACACACTAGCTATTGTGGTGTTAGATGTTTTTTTCTCATCAAGCCAGGACGTTAGCATTCAATTAACAAGCGCCGTTTGATTCACAAGTGGGGTTATCATTGCATATCTTTGTGTTTGAACGTGGATCGAGACTCGTAGTTTAAGTCTATTTACATAAAAGTGCTAAAGAGTTGTTTTTGTATATAAAAGAAATGTAGCCCAGTCATGATACCATCAAATAGCATTGCTTTGACTTTTCTGCTAAACTGAAATATGCAATGAAACGTGTTCTTGTTCATTGTCAAATATGTTATGTTTTATTATCTGTTACTATTTATTTAGTCTTTTTTGTTGCCCAGATCTTGTGGTCTGTACTTTGATAGTGTTCCCATAAAACACGTTATTGCAAAATATACTATTACACAGCATACACAGAGAGGGGTTATAAAATGGCCGAATAATAATGAGAAGTTCCTGAACTGAAATAAAGAGCACATGAGGTTTCCCCCTGGACCAGGAACTATAGTCAAGCTTGTCCCCTCATATTGTTCACTCAGTCCGGTTGGTGTGGGGTTCAGTAAATGCAAGCTTTAGTTTCTCCCTCACTCTCTCTCTCCATCTCTCTCTCTCCCTGTCTGTGTTTCCATCCCCTCGCGCTCTCTCTCTCTCTCTCTCTCTCTCTCCCCCTCCCCCTCCCCCTCCGTGGCCTAAGCCCCTGTTGACTGTACTCCAGGAGTATCTGGAGCGGAGCAGAACAGTGGACGGAGGCTGGGCCGTGTGTTTTCCTAGCCCCCACTGCAGTACGGGCCCTCTCTCTCCCCATAGCCGTAGCACTGACCTGTATCGTGACAGCTGGCTGCCCCTGTGCTCTCTCCCTCTCTCTCTGACCGCTACTTCCATTACGGCCCTCGTCATTGTGTTCAAGGTTTTGTTTAATTTAACAACAAGCAGGGATGAAAGGATGGAAGGGTAGAATATGATAAGAACATAAGCCGTACTTGGCTGGGTCCGGACAGTGTTCTGAAAAGCAGAAGGATCAATTGCATGTGGTGGGTTTTAAGGGGACTAGGACCGCCAAGTGGTGGCGTGACCTTTGAACCGTTGAAACAGCGATGGCTGACTCTCTCCTCAGGGGTGGTAGTCTATTTTATTGAGTGAGGAAAATGTATTTTTGATTAATCTGCGCAGTGTAGGCCCTTTTATTGGGCATTTTCTAATCAATAACCTACCTCTGACATAATTTGCTGTATTGTATTTCATTAGTGTCACGTTGTACCAAAATACTACTACGTACATTGGAATGTGTCAAAGCTATTCCATTCTGCACCAATCATTTGGCGAGTTTGTGTTCTATGTCCCTTGTGCGTACGTGCCTGCGTGTGTATTTGTTAGTATATTAACGTATGTAACCATTATTCTACGACTCCCGTTGGACATTTCAGAGTGACTATTTCTGAGCAATTTCTACCTAATTATTCACTTTCAAATTTTACTTTTTTAAATGAAATCCGATGGAAATCCAAATACCCCAACGGCCGTGCAGCTATGAAATAATAGTGCACAGGCTAGAATTTAAAGTCATACCTCCAGGCGAAAAACTCACACACACTGAATGAAAGTGTCAAATGTTTTTTTTTATGTATATTTAACAACAAATACCCCCAGTTACTATTGATGTTCCATCTCCCAAGGATTCATTTGGCTTGTATTTCTAAGGGCATGATGTGCAACCACTCTCTATCTACCCTATCTTGTTAAACATTTATCTTGTGTTTTTCCCTTTAAGGCTCTTTGTGCTTTGTGATGTTATTTTTTACACCCTTTTAGACTGCAGTGTTGTATCTTTTATAGATTCTGCAAGGCAGGAGAGTAAAGGAGCGGGGAACAGTACCCTAGCGTTGCCTCTAATTGTTGTAGTTGCTCTACGTCACTCCCTTGATGTCACACTTGTCTGGGCCACAGAGGTCCCACAGGACCATGCAGAGTAAACTGTAGTGTTCATCCCTGTCACTCATATAATATACACACACACACACACTAATGTATACATATATGCACACACACACACACACACCATTCACAAAGTAGCACCTCTGTAGTGTACAGCCCTGCTTTTTTCCCGTGTGAACAAGCAATGTTGGACTTAAGTTTGAATAAAATGTCTAGATAATTTATTAGCACTAATGTTGAACCTCATACTAACACCTGTTAAAGTCTGTCAATCGAATAAGTTGTTTAGTTGATAGGATGTGTCAATCTCTGTTAGTGATTTGCTGGCTTCCACAGTCAGAGCACCAGTGGGTTCAGAGTGGGAGACAACAGAACTGGGTCAGTATTCTGTGTATCAAAGCTCTGAGCCCGACCGCAAACCCCTTCAGTTCAGGTTCAGGTCTTGCCAAGATTCTTTTCCCAGAATCCCTTGCCATGTCTCGACGTTTGGCAATTGAAGCGCATGTTTGTTCAAAACTCGAGGCGTTTTATTTTTCAGTGGTTAATAGCACCATCTCCAAAGGAAAGTGCTCCTCTTGGAATAATGCTTAGAGCTCTCCCATCGGAGCCATTCTGTTCTCCCAGGATGGAAACTTTGTTTCCCACGCTTCCACCGGGCTCCACAAGCACAGGGTTGGGAAACACCAAGGCCGATGTAAAATATGGACTGTCAACATTTACTTCCTTACATTTCCCCCTCCCTCCACTCTCTGTCTCACTCACCTCTCTCTATCTCTCTCTCTCTCTCTCTCTCTCTCTCTCTCTCTCTCCTCTCACCCTCTCTCACCTCCCTCTCCCCTCTCTCTCTCTCTCTCTCTCTCTCTCTCTCTCTCTCTCTCTCCTCTCTCTCTCCCTCTCACCTCTCTCTCCCTCTTCCTCCCTTCATCCTTCCCGCCTTCTCTCCATAGACAGTGTAAATGCAAGCACATGCGTTTTCCACTTGACACCGTCGCAATAATAAAGTATGCCTGCTTCATTAGTATTGAATCTGATGGAAGATATGCATCCCGTAAACCTCATTAACATAAACCACAGTAAAGACTGACCCCAGGTCTGTTCTTAATGAACTTGATGCCAGATCGGTGTCACCTCCAAGCCGGCCTTCAAAGACACAGTTAAATAAACATGGGTGTTCTTATTTTAATGTCCAAGATGACTTAACCCCCCCCCCATAGACTGATATTCCTAACCCCGTTCTTCTTTGTGCATTAGATTCCCTTAGAGATGACAGAGTAAACTAAGAAAAATGGCTGCCAAGTAGCAAGGTGCGATTAGTGGCGCTCGCTAATTAATCCATTCTTTCTTTTAGCAGCCTTTTCTCTCCCCGGCTGTCACCACGGCAGCAAACATAGCGGAGCTGCATGTCGTGCGCTGTTCTGAGGGACTCTCAGCGAGAGTTCACATCATTCACTGGCTGTTTTTGTTAAACAGTCTCACAGCGAATAGATCAATGTCCCCAGAAATTGTTAGAATTCACAGGTACCCGCTAATAACCCACCAGCCCCACCAGCCCCAGCGGCTCCATTTGTTTGCTTTTAGACTTTATTAAACTCTGCCTGTTCCTCTCGATGTGTGCCTAATGACTGTGTTTGCATAGCTGATGAAAGGTAAAGAAGGAAGGAGAGAAAGGAGGAAGGGAAAGAGGGACAGGGTAGAGGAGGAGTGTTATTATCAGAGCTCTATTATCAATCTTTACTTGTCGCTTCAGGGGCCTCTGAATTTCATGAGCCGATAACAAAACCCCTTCCTCCCCGCTCCCTCTCGACCTCAGACCGACCACAGTGATTATGCACAATCAATAACTTTTGTGTATTTTTTGTCTATTCTCTCTCGTCTTTCCATCTGGCCTCTAGGATGCTGCGGGCAAGGTGCTGGACCGCTGGTCCATTATGTCTCGGGAAGAGGAGATCATCACCCTGCAGCAGTTCCTTCGTTTCGGAGAGACCAAGTCCATCGTGGAGCTGATGGCCATCCAGGAGAAGGAGGGTCAGGCGGTCACCGTGCCCTCCTCCAAGACCGACTCGGGCATCCGGACGTTCATCGAGAGCAACAGCGTGGGACGTGGCCGAAGCCCAGGCCTCCTCAACCACATGGAGACCAGCAGCCCGTCCAGCATCCACCACTTTGAGAACATCCCCAACAGCCTGGCCTTCCTGCTGCCGTTCCAGTACATCAACCCTGTGTCGGCCCCCATGCTGGGCCTGCCCCCCAACGGCCTGGCGCTGGAGCAATCGGGCCTCCGTGGCCTCCGCGACCTGGACCGTGAGGGCAGCCTGCCCAACCATACTGAGCCAGTGGAGACCAGCGAGTCCGAGGTATCACTCAGCCCTTTCCGCAGCAGCGGTCAGAGCCCCAGCCGCGTCGGAGCCCTGGGGGTCATGAACAACGCCATCGAGCCCAAACAGGAGCCCAACAACCGGGCATCACCCATCTCACCCACTCCTTCCAGCCAGCTGTCCCAGCAGCAGACGGAGCAACAACAGCAAGGCCAGCAGCAGCAAGGCCAGGGGCAACCCGGGACCCCACGCCCTAGGTCCAACTCCCTCAACGACCACCAGGCCCACCACCACTTTGTGAAGAGCGAGCAGTCCAAGAGCATCACCCACTCTTCCTTCTCCTCCAAGATGCACCGCATGCGCCGCATGGGTGCCACCTCGCGCAAGGGCCGCGTGTGCTGCAACTCGTGCGGCAAGACCTTCTACGACAAAGGTACGCTGAAGATCCACTACAACGCCGTGCACCTCAAGATCAAGCACCGATGCACCATCGAGGGCTGCAACATGGTGTTCAGTTCGCTGCGCAGCCGCAACCGCCACAGTGCCAACCCCAACCCACGCCTGCACATGCCCATGCTGAGGAACAACCGCGACAAGGACCTCATCCGTGGGTCGGGCCCCGGCACGCCCGTCATCTCCAGCACCAAGAGCGGCTTCACCCTCACCAGCCCCGGACGGCCGTCTCTGGGCTTCGCCACCCCACCCCTGGACCCCATGCTCCAGTCGCCCCTGCAGAGCCCGCTGGTCTTCCCCTCCCTGAAGTCGGTGCAGCCCGTCCAGCCGGTGCCCCCTTTCTACCGCACGCTGCTGTCCCCACAGCACCTGGTCAGTTCTCCAGTGTCGCTGCCCACCAGCCCCATCCTGCCCTCCACCACCAACAGCACCTCTCTGATGGACCAGCAGCATCAGCTCCTGGCTGCGGCCGCAGCCTCCCACAATGCCCACAATATGTCTTCCGAAGGTGGGCCAATGTCCCACCACAGGCTGCCCACCCCAAGTATCCCCCAGCAGGATCCAACTGCTGCCACCAACACGGACCCCACCCCCAAGAAGAAGCCCCGTAAGTCCAGCATGCCGGTGAAGATCGAGAAGGAGGTGATTGACGTGGCGGACGAGTACGATGAGGACAAAGACGACGATGATGACGACAGCCACCACCATCACCACCACCACCACCCCTCCTCCCACCTCCACCACAACAATATCAACGGAAACTGCAACAACAACAACAACAACAACAGCAGCGGAGGGAACAACAATGGCCACCACAGCGGCGGCAGCGGGCACCAGTCCCCGTCCCAGGACGAGATGAGCCCAGGCCTGATGAGGGGACACCTGATGAGGCACAACCAGGACGACTGCCGGGGAGGGGGGCTCGGAGGAGAGGGCGGCAGGGGTGAGAGAGGAGGCCCAGGTGGTGAGCTCCGCTGCATGGACAGCTTCACCTCCGAGGACCAGGACCACGAGAGAGACTTTGAGAACGATTCGGAGACGTCGGACTCCAAGATATTCTACCGCGAGGAGATGATGGAGGTGGAGGAGCAGCACCAGAGGCTGAGGCTCAACTCCTCCAGGAGCTCCAGAGTGGGAGGAGGCAACAGCCTGGACAAGGACCAGGAGGACCAAGAGGCCAGAGACGAGGAGGCGCAGCTGAGGAAGGAGATGGAAGACTCCAAGAGCCGCTCCTCGCCCACGCCCCACCAGCCCGCCATCAAGATCAAGGAGGAGCTCAACGACCCCACCTACGACATGTTCTGCATGAGCCAGTACGGCCTCTACAACGGGGGTATGGTGGCTGCCGCAGCCGCCGCAGCCAGCATGGCCGCCCTGCACGAGAGCTTCATCTCCTCCATGAACTACGGCGCCAGCCCACCCAAGTTCCCCTCCTCGCACTCCCCCGAGGGAGACCTGTGCACCAGCCCCAACTCCAACGACCCCAAGATCTGCTACGTGTGCAAGAAGAGCTTCAAGAGCTCCTACAGCGTCAAGCTGCACTACAAGAACGTGCACCTCAAAGAGATGCACGTGTGCACCGTGACCGGCTGCAACGCCGCCTTCCCCTCCCGACGGAGCAGAGACAGGTGAGTGTCGTACAACACACACACACACATATATACACACTAACAAGGTGTCTTTTTTCTTGGCTTACAATTGGTTCTTAATTTGACTGCCTCAATTTTTCGGACTAATTATTTAAATATCAGTAGAGTATGAATGAATATTATGATACAACTGGTGTTATTAATTAATTTGTTTATTTGGATACCCATTAGCTTTTGCAGAGGCAGCAGCTATTCTTCCTGGGGTCCACAAAAAACACGACAAGTAACAAAACAAGAATTTGAGATACAACGATATACAAACAATACAACAAAAAAATATATATATATATATATTTATATACTGTAAATATATACAGTACCAGTCAAAAGTTTGGACACACCTACTCATTCAAGGGTTTTTCTTTATTTTTACTATTTTTTACATTGTAGAATAATAGTGAAGACATCAAAACTATGAAATAACACATATGGAATCATGTAGTAACCAAAAAAGTGTTAAACAAATCAAAATATATTTTATATTTGAGATTCTTAAATTGCCACCCTTTGCCTTGATGACAGCTTTGCACACTCTTGGCATTCTCTCAACCAGCTTCACCTGGAATGCTTTTCCAACAGTCTTGAAGGAGTTCCCACATATGCTGAGCACTTGTTGGCTGCTTTTCCTTCACTCTGCCGTCCAAATCATCCCAAACCATCTCAATTGGGTTGAGGTCGGGGGATTGTGGAGGCCAGGTCATCTGATGCATCACTCCATCACTCTCCTTCTTGGTAAAATAGCCCTTACACAGCCTGGAGGTGTGTTGGGTCATTGTCCTTTTGAAAAACGAATGATAGTCCCACTGGCGTATCACTGCAGAATGCTGTGGTAGCCATGCTGGTTAAGTGTGCCTTAAATTCTAAATAAATCACAGACAGTGTCTCCAGCAAAGCACCCCCACACCATAACACCTCCTCCTACATGCTTTACGGTGGGAACTACACATGCGGAGATCATCTGTTCACCCACACCGCGTCTCACAAAGACAAATTTGGACTCCAGACTAAAGGACACATTTCCACCGGTCTAATGTCCATTGCTCGTGTTTCTTGGCCCAAGCAGGTCTCTTCTTCTTATTGGTGTCCTTTAGTAGTGGTTTCTTTGCAGCAATTCGACCATGAAGGCCTGATTCACACAGTCCCCTCTGAACAGTTGATGTTGAGATGGCTGTGACTTGAACTCTGTGAAGCATTTATTTGGGCTGCAATTTCTGAGGCTGGTAACTCTAATGAACTTATCTTCTGCAGCAGAGGTAACTCTGGGTCTTCCATTCCTGTTGTGGTCCTCATGAGAGCCAGTTTCATCATAGCGCTTGATGGTTTTTGTGACTGCACTTGAAGAAACTTTCAAAGTTCTTGAAATCTTCAGTATTAACTGACCTTCATGTCTTAAAGTAATGATGGACTGTCATTTCTATTTGCTTATTTGAGCTGTTCTTGACATAATATGGACTTGGTCTTTTACCAAATAGGGCTATCTTCTGTATACCACCCCTACCTTGTCACAACACAACTGATTGGCTCAAACGCATTAAGAAGGAAAGAAATTCCACAAATTAACTTTTAAGAAGGCACACCTGTTAATTGAAATGCATTCCAGGTGACTACCTCATGAAGCTGGTTGAGAGAATGCCAAGAGTGTGCAAAGCTGTCATCAAGGCAAAGGATGGCTGCTTTGAAGAATCTCAAATAGAAAATGTATTTTGATTTGTTTAAGACTTTATTGGTTACTACATGATTCCATATGTGTTATTTCCTAGTTTCAATGTCTTCACTATTATTCTACAATGTAAAAAATAGTAAAAATAAAGAAATACCCTTGAATGAGTTGGTGTGTCCAAACGTTTGACTGGTAGTGTATATATTTATATACAGTGTGTATATATATATATATATATATATATATATATATATATATATATATATATATATATATATATATATATATATATATATTACTGTATATACTGTGTATATATATATAATACTAACAATTCAGGCATTCGTTACAGGTAGGTTCATTACATATGTTTTGTCCTTTCATTTTGACATTACATGATGTAATTAGAAACGTTGACAATGTTGTGGATGTATGGTGCATGTATCATTTATTTGATATTTCATCATATCAGTAATTGTGGAATTAGTAATGGGGAAGCTTAGGACAGTAGCTGAGTTTTCTTGATGAGCTACTCAACTGCAGTGTAGTCGACCTTTTTCTTACTTAGATGAAGTTCAATTATTAAGGCGTCACCTACCATATGTTAAGTGAAACGCACCATTAGCAGATATACACTTCATCATATAACAGGTATATAGTGGCATCTGTTGACTGTCATGTCAAAGTTCAGAGAAGTAGGGTGTCATCACCAGAACACACACACACACACACACACACACACACCCCACAATCTTACACTCAGAGATATACCCTTGTTTACCTCCCCTCACTCACCTTGTCACTGACAGGTGAGGTAGCATACATTAACGTAGACAGCGGTCTGTCAAGCCACTGCATGTATTAGCGCCCTGCTCCAGGAGGTGAGGTTAGCCACGCTTTACCTACCTGGGCTTGTTAGCACATCCGCCCTATCCACACACACACTCCCAGAATACACCCACCTACTAAAGCTAGCAGCAGGTTGACGCCAGAACACAACACATGCTGAGGCTACACAACATCAAAGTGCCCTGGGCTAGCAACTAGCATTTAGCTCTCCAAGGAAATGCTAACATTTGTTAAGCTTTTTTTGTATGAGGGGATGTTAGACTTAGACTGGCCTTAGAGTGGTTTGAAAATAGCCTACCAAATGCATCAGGATATTAGGGTAACTTAGGGAACACATTAAAACTCTCAACAACGACCCCATGATGGCATCGATAGTGAGTCATTAGCATTGTAATTAGCATCATAAAAAAACGGAATTAAAGCGTCTGAACGGTCTGTTTGTACATTTAAAGGCCTTGTGTGTGACATTGCCAGGTCTATTCCCCCGACCACCGTGTAAACAAGCATGTCCATTTGGCTGAACGGTCCAGTCTCTCTTCACAGTGGGGTGTCGGCGTAAAAAGGGCCCTTGAAAGGAAATGTAAATTCATCTCCTCCCAAACGCCCCTCGAAAATAGACATGACTTCAAGTGTAACAAATGCAGCTCTCTTTATCGCTTTAGCGGAGCCACACACACACACGCACACACAGACGCGCGCGCGCACACGGTCAGAGCGTGCCTCTGCTCCCAGTATAATGACACATGGCACATTCAAGAGATCTAGAAGAGGGGAAGCCTCACTCAACCAGCTTCTCTGGAGAAAGAGAGATTTTTTTATTGTGTTACAGCACACCGTGGTGACAAGTGACACTTTTATTTAGATAAAGAGCGAGTGTGTTTTCTCCTCCTCCTCCTCCCACTCCTCCTCCTCTTCCTCCTCCTCCTCCTCTTCCTCCTCCTCCTCCCACTCCTCCTCCTCTTCTTCCTCATCGTCCTCTTCCTCCTCCTCCTCCTCCTCCCCCTCCTCCTCCTCTTCCTCCTCCTCTAATTTGCTTCTCTGAGGAGTTTTTTCTCCTATAGTTTTTCTCAGAGTTGTTTTGTCTCAACAGCAATCCTCCACCCACTCTCCCACCTCCACCTCTCTACCCCTCCACCTCTCCACCCGGGGCCTTTATTAAGTTCCTTGTTTCAGTGGCATCTGTTCATTCTGTTCCTGTTTGTTCATTAGCACCAAGGAAGTAGAGCAGGTGACTCTGGGACTTGTTCAGGGAAGAGGGGATGGAGTAGGTGGAGAAGAATGAAAAAAGAGAGGAGAGGGGTTATAGTGTTAGCGGAAAAGAGAGGGAGGGAAAAGGGGGATGGAGGAGATGAGACAGGTAAAATAGCGTTAGCAGAGGAGAAGAGAAGGTGAAATCATGCCGCTCACCTGACGCAGCTGGTACCGACAGCAGGAAGATGACAGGAAGTGTTATTAAAGGATGCGTTGCCATGCTGATGCGTGTGTTTGACGCAGCCGTGGACAATGCGTTTGTTCGTTACCCTCTTTGACGAGGCTTTAGGGACAGGGAGCGCCCGGGGCACGAGAGGCCTGCTGTCTCGCATAACCACACACACACATAGACACATGCTTGTGCACGTACACACACACACACACACACACACACACACACACACACACACACACACACACACACACACACACACACACACACACAGTTACACATACTCTAAAGCTGATGCGTTCCTACAGATGCATATAGTCTTACAGAGAGTCACTACTTTATTGTAATATACACAGTATTTTTAATTAGTCTCTTTATTGCACCAAAATAAAATATTATATTAAACAAATAGCCCTGACCTTATGGTTTGATACGTTCCCAATAACAGCCTCCCCACAGCGAACAGACATCTCAACAAATGTTAAGTTACTGAATTACCATGACAGAAACGCCAATGGTATCGAGGCATCCCAACGACTCACTTCAGAGATTTCTGAATGAGTGGGGAGTAAGCTGACCAATACCTGCTCAAGAGCTGGACACACATGGCCAAACTGACCAATGAGGAGGGCTAATTCAGCGGCCTACGTCCTTATTTAGTGGAAGTCAAGGGAGAACTATGAATCAGAGCCGTCCTCCTCCCCTCATCCTTCCCTACCACTGCCCCAGCTTGTCTCCCAACGATATAATTTAGCCGTCCATCTTTTTTATTGGGCGCTCTCCGACATTAGCGCTCCTCACTTGTATTAGCATCTGCCGCGGCGACTCCGTAATGGCCTTTAAAAAAACACTTAACTCCGGCACTAAACGAGGAGGGGATGACAGTGGTGGAAAAAACAAATCAGTGAAAAACAGCACTAGTTAGGGTCCACTCACTCACTCACTCACTCACTCACAGTAAGGGATTTGGTTTCCAAGAGGCAGTGGGTGCTGTAGTATAGAGAGGTGCAACTGTGAGGGAGCGAGGTCAAATTAGACTGTGTTTCGTCTTCCATCTTGGCTCAAAGATTAACCCAAATGTCTTCCACAGGCTTATAGTGAAGCATGAACCTCAACCCACGCTCACAGACACGGTGTCACAGTGACTGTGGAATCTTGCCCTAGTGATGTGCGTGTGACAGTTTGACTCGATTACCAGAAACACAAGCGTATAAATTCCAGAAGCGCTTTAACATATGGCCTTGACAAATAGATAGGTGTGTAGCAGGAGAGAGGACAATCACTGCTGTGAACATATGAATCTTAGAAGGAAGAGAGGCTTAGACCAAGATGTGGGTGAGTTACACCTAAGTACACTGTTGTTTCCATACTTTGGGTGTGTCCCAAATGGCTCCCTATTCCCTATATAGTGCACTACTTGTGATCAGAACCCTGGTCAAAGGTAGTGCACTATATGGGAAACAGGGTGCCATTTGGGATGGACATTTTGTGTGGCGGATAAATTCCTGATAGCATATGGGATATATTACTGTGCCTGCCGCTCCTATGGAATAAGGAGAGAAGCGTAACAACAGAGGGGTATCGCGGGGCCAAAGGAATTGTGGGTTATTGAGGCTATAGTCAGGGCTCTGGCCGAACACCAATCAGATGTGTCCCTGGGTAATCCCTTAACTACATAATGCATGCTGCAGTGTAATTGGAGTTGTAACATGGGAAAATAATTTGGTCGTTTTCATAAGGCTTTTCCCCTCTGATAATATTATTGTGGAGGAAGGATTGCGAAACCACAACGCCTCAGACATTGGTTTGCTGCTACATAAAGTTTGAGTAGTTTCAAATGACATTATCCGCAAACAATTGGAAGATTCAATACAACATTACAAATTCCACAGCTAATAACATATTATTTCTGATATTATGAAACCAATCATTATTATATTTTAGCAAAAATTCAAATAATATTTCTAATAGTCTGATAAGTAACTTATGATAAATTAAATACATTTAATGCAATATAATCTAGTAATCTATAATAATCTTGTAATTAAATCACAGAATACTGATCTCAGTAAACCAAACCGGATGCCTTCTCTTCACCCCTTGTATTTGAGCTTTAGAATGTCAAATGTCTCTAACAACAGAGATACAGTATCTGAGCCTAAATCTGTTGGGACACCCAGATGTTTGTTTCCAACCAGATAATGCATGCTAAACCAGGCCTGTAATATGCAGTGCTAATAACCAGCTTCCTCCTCTCCTCCACCACCTCTCCTCTCTCTCCTCACAGAGAGATGTTGACGTCTATACCAACAACAGGAGGTTGTCCAGGTACCTCAGCATATCCCATTAGTCAGTTATTTCTCTACAGTGGAGTGACACCCCAGAGGAACGTAGGTAGGCGCATCAAACGAACGCTCCCTTCAAAAGCCCCGATGTCGGAGTGAATTAAAGAGGGGAGGATCAGAAGAAGATTTGATCTACGGTATCATATTAATATTTGAGGAAAACAACAACAAAAAACTATGGAAAATGACAATAGTGTCACAACCGTTTGAAAAGAGAAGGGAGGCGTTTAGCAGCTACATGGTGACAGATGTAAAGATAAAAATCGATGGTGTGGTTATGTTAATTAACAGGATAAACAACGTCGCACACTGCTGTTTTACACACACACGTCTAATAGAGTACAGAGTGTCCTCTAACATCTAGCTACTAGTTGTACATCAGTACAGTAACAGTACAGTGTTTCCCACCAGCCCCCTGGCCACCAGGCGCTCAGCTCAGAGGTAAATGATTGCATATTTATTGTGGAGGGCGAACGGCAGCACACACAGCGGTGGCAGCAGCAGTAGTGTGATTAACGTCTGAAAGGCGTGCCGACCAGCAATCATCTGCCTTATTAGCCTCGTTAATCATATTTCCTAAATCAACGACAGGGCCTCCTTCTCTCTTTTTCTACACCTTTATTTTAAGACTCATCGTTGTTTTACTGCTCTTTTCCATCCCTCCGTCGGAGGACTCTGTCACCAGGTGCTTTCCCGCACTTATTTCCCATGATGCACTAGTGTGCGGCGGCCCCTCGTCCCCACACGGATGGAGGGATGCAGAGAGTGAAGGTTAATTACGTTTGAGAGCCATTCTCTCTCTTCCCCCTCTCCCTCTCTCTCCTCTCCTCCTTCTCCCCTGCTCCTCTCAAGCCATGTGGGCCCAGTCTCTCGTAGAACTTCAGTAAAGCTGCAGTCTCTCTATTTGCCATGCTTAAACAAAGGCCTGATAATTTAGAGAGAGAATGTATTTAATTTAGCCACAGATCACAAGTTCAAAATACTAAATATCTACTGATGAACAGTATGTTAATGACATACACTATGAAAGGGGACTTTTATATTAATTTATCTTTGATACATTTGGGTTTTGTGGATAAAGACAAATAGATAATCAGAGAATCACTTTCAGAAGGCTTTCGTTTGTAACAATAAGCGTCACACATTTTTCACATTCTGTAAGTAATTGTAGGCTAATATAATTACAGAGTTTTGGGGTTTATTGATTTGATCTCTGTATCTGTGACTTAGCCTTCTATCTGAATCTCTATGGTGTCTCTATGGAGTCTGTGTAACCAACCCCTGAGAGGAATAGTACTTTTATCAACTTTTTAACAAGTTTCTCCAACTGCGTCTGAACTGAACTTCAGTGTGTGTTGCTGTAGTAGTGTAGCTAGTGGAGAATAAAGACTGATAATGATGAATGTGTTACCCAACCCGCGATCATCCTCCCACCTCTCCACTCCAAACCTCATCACATAGCAACCCCAGATGACAGAACCATCAGCGTCAGTTTAATATGACTTCACTTTGCTCATTACGACTCATTTAGACAGTGCACTCACTCACTCACACACACACACGGAACAGAAGGAAGGACAGGGCCATTGGAGGAGAGACGGGAGCCTAAAGATGATTAACGTTGACTGGGACAGGCGCTTTAGCTAGATAGCCTCTCTCTCTCTCTCTCTCTCTCTCTCTGTCTCCTCCTACTCTGCACAAACAAAATGGCCTCTCAAGAGGCCTCCCCCGTCTTTGGGCGAAGATGAGACTGTCAATTTGGTCATTACTGGTCATCAGGGAGGGAGAGGTGGAGGAGAGAGAGAGGGAAGGGAGGAGTTGGGTTCGGGGGGTAGAGGAATGGGGGAAGAAGGAGAGTGAAATGTTGGTGGAAGAGGGGGATGGAGGAAGAGAGGGATGGAGGAAGAGAGGGATGGAGGAAGAGGGGGATGGAGGAAGAGAGGGATGGAGGAAGAGAGGGATGGAGGAAGAGGGGGATGGAGGAAGAGGGGGATGGGGGTGGAGGAAGAGGGGATGTTCCTGCTTTCTTTCCCTTCTGTTTTCGGGAGGTTTTTTCCGAGCGGCTTGAGAAGGAGGGATGGGCTCCCCACTTCTTTTGGAAGAGAAGGAAATGGGGCAGAGGCTAAATCTGATAAATGAAGGGATCTGTGTATGGACTCTAAATTAGGAAAATCTACCCAGACTGATACACGTCTAGTGAATATGTTTAGAGATAGGGAGGAGATGCATTTATCACCGGTGCAGGTGAATTCCTCCACAAAGTGTATTCAAGCAGCCATTTTTCACGCCATATTCCACAGTCTCGGATTGTTCCAAAGATGCAGATGAACAATCGACTTATTTATTTTAAACAGTAATCAATAATTGTTTGATTACTCAACACATCTTTTTTTTTCTTCTCATGGTCAGTATGTGGTCTTTGTGAATGACAGTATAATAACCAGAAGGGATATATAAGTGATAGTTGTACAATGTAGATGGATTGTGTGTTAGTTATCCAGTTGTGGTTTTAGATATTGTGATCTAGTATAAATGCTGACATCACGGTAATGACATATGGATGATGCAGTAGTAGTTAGTAATACTGTAGTAATTCAGGGTACCTACTGCATGGCACTTAGCATGTGTGTTTTAACCTCATCAGTCAGGGAGCCATGGCAGACTAGAGCTTGTGAGCAGTGTGGGGGTGTGGCTTTAGGGGTGGAGACATTTTGCAAAGGACCCGCCTACCTGAGCATCATCAACAGCATACGGCCCAATCACAGACTTGACCAATCAGCTAATGCCAAAGCCTGTTGACATCCCCACGAAAAACAATCAACAAACCAAATTTGAATGTAATTGGTGTAAAAAAGTATTCTACTGACTGTCTAGTCCCAGTTCTGTGTTTTACTTGGTCGTGGAAACACACATTTGTCCGTCTACACGGGGATACATTACGAGAGACATTGAATCATGACTATTTCGTCCATAAGATAACACCATCTGTGTATCAGCCTGTTATCAAAGGATCAAAGAAAATAGCTAATAATTTTCATGAAAGTCTCAGAACATGGATGTAGTATATTTTTTCTCTCTCTCACACACACACTCAGTCACTCACTCACTCACTCATTCACTCACTCACTCACTCACTCACTCACTCACTCACTCACTCACTCACTCACTCACTCACTCACTCACTCACTCACTCACTCACTCACTCACTCACTCACTCTCACACACACAATACGATCCAACACAACACACACACTCTTCTCCTCGAACACACACACGCTTGCGCGCACAGGCCCACATGCGGCGGTGACAACCCCGGCCAATCGATTCTCCCCGCTCCTCGATGCTGACAATGCTCAAGTGGACGGTGCTCCTGTTTGCTTCCTCTTGTAACACAGAAAGAAAGGGCCCCTCCATTCCAATGAATGTATACTATTTTTACCCTCTTGCAGGAGAATGTCGGATAGGGAACTAAATAATTAAAGGCAAGGGACCCTTTTTGACTGCATCAACCATGGCACTGCTGGTAAGCTCTACTATACATTGTGAATCCATTTGCCCTCGTCCTGTCCTGCCAAGGACGTATGTTTTGAGTTTTTTTAGTTTGTCACACCCACCACCGTGCCCCTTGCCTTGCATGGAACCCCCCCTCACATTTAAAAGCACTACTGGATATTCCATATTCATTTCTTACTTTTGTTTGATTTCATTTTAAAAGTCCCCTAACATGTTGTATTGCGGACAGTGGGATGTTTATACTGTACCACTACCATATCTGACGCCAGTTATCTGACACTTTTCTTTGTGCATTTTATTGTGACGTTTGCTGTGGTGGGTCCTCCATCCCTCCCAGTCTGAAATGGCAACTGTGGAATTGGAGGGAAGAAGCATTGAATTTGAGCTGTCAAACACATTTTACCTCACATCTTTTGGCAGGCTTTGCAATGCAGACTGCTACACCTCACAAACAATACCCCTTAGCTCTAGCAAGCTTTAGCGTGACACCAGATTCATGCTTACACTTCCTTGTTGTGAATTCGATGGCAGTGGCTATGCGTTATGAGATACTACTGCTCTCTCAGTGTGAAAAAGCAGCCATTTTTATTTATTAAAGCGAAGGGGATACATGGGGATGATATGTTTAAAAAGTGGGGCCTGATTAAGCCACTTCCAATAGGGAGCCAGTGTGATAATGCTGTCGGAGCTCTAATACACTATCCAGTTCCCCTCGATTATCGCATTACCACAGCTCGAATCAATTGATAAACTCACATTCAATATGGTGGAGTATTTAATTGAGTCAGAGTCTATTGGATTTGCAGCGGGGCTGTGCTAGACGTGCTGACAGTGGTAAACACCGTGGCGGGATGCTCTCGCCACGCCATGTTAGACCAGTTAGGGGAGCGCTAAGAGAAGAACTGGGTAGAGTTTCTCTCACTTTAAAAGGAGGCCGTTGGAACCCATTTCCACGTAGGTTCCTCTTGATAGGGGAAGAGTGAGGAGAGGTTCTAGAACAAGGTGAATCGTTTATTTGTTGTTTTGTCTGGCGTTGGGTGAGGTCAGGGGTTAGTGAAGAGGACAGGAAGAGAGGAGGGTTATTGAAAATGTAGTGACATACAATATCATTCAAATAATTAGAATTCCAAGCATAGGTGCATGGTGTTGGGCGAGACAGAACACATGTTTTGTAATGCAAAAATATATTTCTGAGAATGCTACCACTCCAGTCATCGTTTAAAGCGCTGAAACACTATTTTGCTTGATATGACAACTTGTTTTGCTATTTTCTTATGAAAACGATATCTCTCTACCTCCCCCTTCATCCATGTCTTTCCACCAGGCACAGCTCCAACATCAACCTGCATCGCAAACTGCTGACCAAAGAGCTGGATGACATTGTCCTGGATCCCCATCTCACGCCATTGGCCAAGGACCTGCGCGCCGAGTTCCTGGCTAAGATCTACGCTGGGCACCACCTGGGCCTGGACACCATGGCAGGGGGAGGAGGACTGACCCGTGACGCCAGCTCCCCGGCAGGCACTGACTACCCCCCACCCCCACCCCCACCACCACCCCCTAAACCCCCACAACAACCACCACCACCACCTACACCACCCCCATACCAACGGCTTCTACCACCGCGGTGGCCCCCCAGATGACTACATGGTGCTGGACCTGAGCACCGCGTCCAGCATTCAGTCCAGCGGGTCAGTCCATTCATCACGCCAGTCGGACGAGGGCAGTGACGAGGGCATCCTATTGGACGACCTGGAGGAGGATGGGGAGGAGGGAGGGGTCAGTGACGGGGAGGACTGCTCCCAGCATACCCCGGGGCAGGTAGGGACCGGGGGGCGGCGGGACCAGGCCGGCGTGGGAGGAGACGGAGGAAGATCGGAAGAAGGTCTGACTGGCGCCGACCCCTCCTCCTCGCCGACCCTCCTGTCTTCCACGGGTGGCAGTGGTGGGATCCTGTGCAGCATCTGCCACAAAATGTACAGCAACAAAGGGACCCTGCGCGTACACTACAAGACTGTGCACCTGCGCGAGATGCACAAGTGCAAAGTGGCTGGCTGCAACATGATGTTCTCCTCGGTGCGCAGCCGCAACCGCCACTCCCAGAACCCCAACCTCCACAAAAACAACGTGCCCTTCACCACCATGGTAGACTAGCTCAACCCCCTGGCCCCCCTTACTTACCCCCCTGTCTGGCCAACTCTACCCCCCTCCTCGACTCCCTCTTCACCCCAAACCATGAGCTCTTACCCCCAGGATCTTCACCTTACCACCCTTAGACGTCATTGCACCACATTTCTATTTCCCTTCGATGAGATCCAGTGACTATATACAGTAAGCGTTGTGACTTTTGACCTTTCCTTCTTTGGAAGAACGAGGATGAGACACTTGAAGTGTCTTTATTCCAAAAACTGGCTCTGCCGGTTTCCCATAAATCCCATTTCCTATTTCCCATATATCTTTGTTTTTGTCCATCTCCAAAGAATCTATTCAAACTCTTATTTGTGACTGTTGCCTGCAGAAATGATAATAATGATGAAAAAAATATAAATCTTCTTGTTGTATTTGTGTAATGATAGCTTTTAAAGGAAACCCCATACAAGAGCATGACTGCTTCATTTGTAAATAATATGTCCCAAGAGGCTTTTGGTGTAAAACAATTGTATTTGATGGTTGTTAGCTATTTTTGTTTCTCTTTTTTTTGGTTTTTATGTTACAGTACAATACTTCCAGCGCTAAGGTAGGCAAGAAAGAGGTAGCATCTTTACTAGCTTGACTCATTTACGTTAGTTTCAAAAACACATTTTTAAACTGAGAACTAGAAAAACTAATGATCATGTGACTTGTTGTATCTACTTGTTAGATATGCGGAGGTTGCCGGCATGCTTTTTTTTGGCTCCTACACCAATATCATTCTCTGTTCTATCTTTAGTTTTTGTTATTGTTTATAGTTTTTATTATACCAATTCAGTTTTTCGCACTTTGCAACTATACAAGCGGGATGTGTAATATTATTACAAGGAGGACTTTGCAAAGATGGGTTTCCGCGATGTTCGGGGTCTGGTAGACAGCCACACTGCCAAGGGAAAATGTCTTGCATAATTGTGGCATTTTTTTTTTTTTTTTTTTTTTTTTTTTTTGCACGTGTTCAGTTTCAGAAACACTATTTCACAACGGAAGACCCATATTTGTCCTGAATGAAACCCAACATCCGGCCCATTTACTCAAATAATCGTATTCAGAAAAAGTCTAAGTATTTCTACTCTACCAGATACCTTAAAGTGACTGACTACAATACAGCTGCTGTTTTAGAAGGCAGAAGATTTAAGTATTAAGGAATTTAGTTTTTGTTTCTTTCATTTCAAGGAGTGTAAACCCAGTGTGTGAGCGTTCTGGCTGTAAAGTAATATCACAGTACTTAGCTACAGAGGTTGAAGTAGGCTAATCTTTCTACTGCATGTGGTATTTGTGACCTGACCTAAAACAAGAGTTGGTTGAGTGTCCTTTTTATTATTTTATAAAAATGTCCATGCACAAAATGGCCATCCTATCAGAAGTGTAATGTGAATGTCACATTGATTATAAAAAAAAAAAGAAATTGTCCTTAAACTGTGACCAAAACAAAAAGAAGCATTGGTTTTTAAAACAAACTATATTTTTCCGCCATACAGTTGTACTTTAACTTACACCCCATAAATTGATATGATGCACTTGAGTCTTAAGCCTTTTGCTGTAATTTTTCAGTATTGATTTCCATTGCTGATTGTCAGCTTCAAACGTGAACTCTGTGAAACTCTGTTGCCATTGCCAGGCTTTTTTCTGAGTTATTTGCAGCCATTTTCCTTGTTTCTATACAAATCTTAAGGTACAAATATTTCCAATAAATAGGCAAAGTAGCCAAGGGGAAGGGGTATTTATTTGCGGGTGATGTTATCTTGATGCAGATGTGTTGTCCAATATGAAGTCCTTTTTTTTAAGAAAAGAAAAAAAAAGAGATCGGTCTTCATTTTGAGTCTGTGCCCTTGAGTTGATGGTTTTCATTGTGTTTTTGTCGTGTTACTATGGATGTGAAAAAATTGAGAGCTCCTCTTTCTTGATTGGTGCTTATCTTAAGGGGATGCAAACGCACAGTGTTACGTGGTATACAGTATTCAAACCCCCGTTATATCCATGAAAGTGTTGGACATTTTTATTTTATGACTTCAACTATTTTGCAATGTGCATGATCGACCCTTTGATGGACACGTTGGCGTAAACTCTTAAGACTTAGCTTCTCCTCTCTTCTCACTCAACCAACCTCCACGACACTGGCAGCAGTCTTCACCCCTCTCTTCTCTCTGAAGAGAAAGAGAGAGAAAGAGCTGATCTGAGTGAAAGGGGTTGCGGAGGTGGAGGGCTGACTAGAGAGGAGGGAGGGATGACAGTGAGTATCATTAAAAATGTGCTGTTCCACTGTTACCTGGAGGCATTCTGAAGCTGATCTGTCTAACAACTCACTTGTCACTTCATTACACTGGCAGACGTGAATGTTGCTGACAGGACTGTGACACCGACCCCTCCAGGCCCCCCTTTCTCTCTCTCCGCTTCCCTTTCTCTTCTGCTCTGCCTGAGAGAAACCACCCCCCACACCACTCTTAACCACCCCCCTCATCTTCCCACTCAACCCTCCTCCCCTCGCCCCCTTCTCGGGTCCTATAGAGACACAGACTAATAGTGTACGCTTAAGTTCACCGGACGGCTATCGCTGTAGAAAAAGGATGTGTAATTGCCTGTTTATCCCAAGTGAAGGGAAAATTCAGTACAGGAACCCTCAGCTACTCCCTGGAGTGGCTCTGAGGCGCAGCCTGCCTCATTCGCCCAGCGCACCTTACCGCCACGGGCCCAGCGCAGCCCAGACGGATAAATATAGAAGTGTCACTCCAGGAACCCTGCTGACAGCTGTCTCTCTCTTCCATACACATGCGCACACACTATTTCTGCTAACAGGCCAGTGGGATGACAGCAACAAGAGGTCTTGTTAACCTCTGGTGATGGGTGGGAAACAAGGAGAGAGAGAGAGAGAGAGAGAGAGAGAGAGAGAGAGAGAGAGAGAGAGAGAGAGAGAGAGAGAGAGAGAGAGAGAGAGAGAGAGAGGAGAGAGAGAGAGAGAGAGAGAGAGAGGAGAGAGAGAGAGAGACCGAGAGACCGCACTGAGAAAGAAAGCCCCTCTTTGAAAGTGTTCGATGGCTTACGATAACTGTTCTTATACCGTGGAAAGGAAAGAACTCCAAGGCCAATCAGTCTGGTTTGGAATCAACACACAGTCTATTGAGAAATGTGAGACTGTAACAAGCTAAGAGTGGTATTAATGATGCTGCTGTAGCCAGTGACCTTAGCCTGCACTGTTAAACCACACAACCTGATCTGATGAGAAATAAAAAGACTGCAGAACCCAAACTCTTAAACATTCCTCTTGTCCTATTCAATGTTGTAGACTTCTCAAGCAGCCAGCGAGCTTAGTCTGTGACCTGTGTGTGTGTGTGTGTTAGTGTGTGTGTGTGCCAGAGAGAGAGAGAGAGCTTAAATTCCCTTAGTGACTCCTTGTCTCTAGCCCCTCCGTCTCTTACTCGATGGCCATGCCAGCACGCCACGGCTGCTAGAGAGAGCTTGCAAATGAGCTGAGAAAACTGCCCTGACACGCAAATGACTGTCCAGAACAGAACAGAATAGCCAGACTAGAGGGGGGGAGAGAGAGAGAGAGAGAGAGAGGTACATTTTCTCCTCTCTCCTTTGAGAGGGCCTGAGCCCTCCATCTCCCTCCCTCTCTTTCTGTCCATCTTTAGCCCACTAGGATCCAAGGCAGAGTCCAGTGGTCAGGCTGATGGGACCATTATGGTCCTGGCTCGGTCCCCAGGAGGAGAAAGTCTCTTAAAACCCTCACTGGCCAGCCTGAGTGGAGTGAGTCTTTAATATTTCATTAGGGGACTCCCAAATGTCAGTTTCCCCACGACACACAATCGCTGAAAGACAGAGATGACAATGGAGCAGGTGGGGTTGTCTAGTGATCCGTTATGGATCGTATACTCGTGTCCACTTTGTTTAAGTCCGCGGAGAGCAGGGAAGGACGTTAAACCAGTGTAAGTGGAGGGGGATGTTTGCGAGCTGTCTGGTTAACGTCATCCATCTTGAAAAATAAATGTGGCGAGGCTCAAAAGACACATCGGAAGATTGGTGGTTTTACAGATGATATGCTATGGTCCAAACATGTACCCTCGTAACTTGGTAACAGCAATTCTACAGTAACTTGGTAACAGCAATTCTACAGTAAATTATCCTGGAACAAATAAAAAAAACATACAGAAATGTATAACGTGCTTTTTACCCATATATTTTATTTGACAAAAGAAAATCTCACAATCCTTAACATTACAGCAAGTCACCCCAAACTATTTACCAACATGCCAATCATACTTTTTATAGTCTCATCACAAAATATAAATAAGCTTGAAAGACTGTGAGTACATTTTCTTTTCCATAGGGATGTTTTTGTGTAGCCGTCTGGTTCTCTTTGTGCTAAACGGCCGTGTTAACTCCCTGCAACCAGAGGCCTGCATTTCAATCAACTCTTCTTTCACTGCCTGGCATGGCAGCATTGCTACAGAGTCACACAGCAAACTGCAGCATCTACAACAGGGGAAGCTTGCATCACTTTCCATTTTATAATGGTGACATTGGTAGCTTCATGAATACAGTATGTCTCCTAAACAGGTTTTTCCCATTAGCAGACGGGGAGAAAAAAAAGGTGGGTTTTGTTTTGTTGCTTTCCTTGTATTTTTCTGTATCATAACAGTCTATGGTTTTTGCATAAAATGCATATGGGTTTTGGGATGTAAATGGAATTTTATTCATATTTTGTCCAAATACCTCTTGTAATTTGTATCAGAATTCTTGTACAATTTTTATATTAAAGATTTATCAGTCACTGGCAATCTGACGCCGTGTTGCTTGTCTTTGAAAGGGATTATTTATTTTTCCGGCTGTGTTGTGTGTGTGTGTTGTGTGTGTGTTGTACCGGTAAAGGGAGGACATGTTCTGTGTGGCTGGAATTTAACACAGAGAGGCACAGGGACAGTCTGTCAATCAAGCTGGTCCGACAAGACACGATTTCAGCGGTTTTA